CTATCGAAAAATTAAAGTAGAAAAATGCACAATAATAACTAAAAGTCTATGATCAAAATAAATAAATATTAAGTTTTAAATCACCCTGTATATAAATATCTTCTTAAGAATGCGTTTTTTTATGTAAAAGTTGAATGTACTGAAATTATAGCTTAATTTTTTGTGGAAAAATTGTTTATTACAACTCTGATTTTAAAGTGGCGTCAGCTGGTCAAATTATATCTTTTATTATTATTATCTACAGGATGCACACGAAATTAATTTTGTTTAAATTGTAACATCTGTTAAACCCAATCAGGAAAAATTATAATAATTATTTTATATATAAATTATTTTATATTTATTGTACAATGCTATGGGTTGGGGCAAATTAGCTCCGAAAGGGTGTTTAACCGTTAAAAGTATTGCGAAATAGTATATTAAAGAACTAATGCCATTTTGTCGCACGCGACAAAAGGTCTGACATGAGTTATTTATGCCATTTTATCTATTTTGCAAAAATTCTATAAAAAAAATTAATTTTATACCTTAAATTTAATTTGGTCGAATTTTACTTTAGATAGTTGGTATCACAGTCATTGGTTTGACAGTTAATGTCAAAATCGCCGTCCATAATTTACTTATTTACAATAAGCGGCTGTTAATGTTAAAGAAGAAAAAAAGGATTTTCTTTGGTGTTAAACAAAATTTATTGCCAGAAAAGTCTCGTAAGTACTAAAAAAATTATAAAAATATTAAAGTATAGCCAACCTATAAAATCAAAATTTTTGGTGGGATAAAGTATCTCATTACAGCGTTGTTATAATGAAAGCAAAATAGATAAAAAAATGCATGCAGAAACTTTTAAATAAATACAAAATGTTATTTTCAACCCACGTGTCTTTTTTTTGGTTAAGTTAAAATCCCAAGTGTGGGAAAACGGGTTTTAATACCAAATACAATGCGTTATTAAGAGTTAAAATTAAAAGTGATATCGGTTCATGAAAAATGCATGACTTTTGTGTCTAGAATGATTGAATGATAAACGTAAAAATATCCAAAACAATTTATAAAAATTAGACTCTTGTTTATTTTTATTTTTTCATGTTTGTTTTCCACAAAATATCCAACAGATTTTGCTGGACCTTCTTAGAACAGTTAAGGTTACCTATACCTAAATTAAAACAAGTTATAACCATTTGATAATGTTTAAAAAACAACAAACAGATTTTCTAAAAATCACTTAGACAATTCCTTAAATTTACCACACCTCTAAATTACAGTGTCATCGTTTATATGTTTATATTTATATTTATGTAGCTACACACATATTTATTTATAAACACTTTAATTATTTACTCGACTGATTTGACTGACTGAACCTAAGGTTAAAGGGCTTTACAAACCGATAAACATAAAAGTCAATCAATAGAAAATAAGAAATTTTCTTTAATCTAAAACGTCTTAAAACTTCTAATAAAATAAAAAACTCTCACATGTTTTTTGTTTCTTCAGTCAAACTGAAACAGGCACTTAACACAGAGAACAGTATAAACGTTTCATTCACTGTTTTTTTTTTCGAGTACGTCAATTAAGTCACATAAGCAAGCACTCACTCCACTTGAGCAAGTACCGAACGCGATAGCAAGGAGAAAAATAGAGAGAGAGAGGGGTCAAGTCGGGCCGGTCTGGCGGCTACATCGCGTTAACTGTTTCAATACTTCAAGCAACAGCAACGGACCTATATAGCGTTAGGAATTTCATCCGGTACCATGCGTATGTATTATGACATACCATACTGTCTAAAAATGGCCAGTCTGAATTAAAGCTCAGGATGATTGATTTGCTTACTTAAATGGTCTGTGGAAATGTAAACGTTTATTTTACTTAACGGTCTCCCTTTTTGGCCTAATTGGCCTAATGAAATTTTTCTACATATGTATATGTATATATAATATGCGGTTATTATTTAAGCAGATTACTAACTATATTAGATGTTAGAATCATCTGAAATCTCTTTGTTTAATTGAAAACTGCCAGGACAAATTTCCAAATTTTTTGAAAGTTTACCAAAATCCTTTCAAACATTTTTTTAATTACGCCAGAGTGGGATAAATTAAAAAAATGGTATTTCAGATTCAATAAAATTTTCCAATTTTTTTAAATCTACCAAAATCTTTGAATTTTTTTTAAATTATTAAAATAATGGACTCTTTTAAATTTTTCAAGTATCCTATCCTATTTTATTATATATACACTTTTATTGTGTTTTGATCTTTCATAATTAAGTAGATATTACAGCTCAGGTTCCAGATTTTTAACCGCAATTAATTATTTTTTACAATGTTTACAAGCCTAAAACCTATCCTCCGTGACTGTTACTCTTTCTAGGTTAACAAATATCAGTTCACTAAGTAAATTAAACACATCCAAAGCAATCGAATCAAATATAAAATATTATTAAAAATTAAAAGAAATAATTTTATAACCGTTTATGTAGATGTTACAAAAATTGATTCTATCCTCCGTGAATCTGTTTTTGCTTTAAATTTTATGCAACGGATGGCGCTTTAATCATTTTAAATAAGCAAAAACCTCTGTTTACGACATTATATATGCATGTGATTCCTGAAGGTCAGTTAGAATTTATATGCGGATGAGAGTGTTGCTGTTTTATAATTCAAAAGTTTAAGTTCATTAATTTGCTATTTAAAAACCTATCCACCGTGAAGTGTAATATCTCAGTAAGTAGATTTTTTTTTTAAATATTTTATGTATATACAATTGTATTTTTTTTAAATATTAAGGTGTCAAAAGATACAATAACTTATTTAAAATATACAAAGGGATGTTTTAAAAAAACATACGAAATCCCAACCTCCGTGAAGCTCTAATATTCAAAATGTATGATTTCTTAAAATTCTTGCATTAGTGCAGAACCACTTATTTTATGTTATTACTAGATCTGGTGGCTTCCCAAAAACCCCATTCTAGTGAAACAACAGTGAAACAACCAAAAATAAAAAATAATCATTTTAATATATTCACCCGTATACTACAATGGTTATTTTTTTTTACGTAAAGATCCAAATTTATAATTTAAAAACTCAAAAACTTACTTTTTTCAAAATTCTCAGGAATAACAAAGTTATAACAATTTTTAGTTTTGACAGGTTTTTAGTTCTGTCAAAATCCGAACATATTTTGGTTTTTCCTACTTATACTTACATAAAAATGTACAAATCTAGTTTTGATCTTACTTTTATAAACAAAATTAAAGATGTATACCGAATATAGAGAGAGAGATAGAGAGTAAAATATCTTAGGTTTGTCGACCTTTTTGTCTATTTTTAACTATTGGCAACACTTGAAAATATTGTTCGGATGATGTGAAAAAAATTTCGACGTCTAATCATAGGTGCGTAAAGTAATTAGCAGCATAATGATCTACTTCCGCAAGGGAGCGAATATATTTTATATTTGGTGCACAAGTTAATTATTACCAACTAGGTACGTTTTATAGACGAAGTTTTTTAAAGATTGGAAACATGTGTTTTTCCTGTGACAGTTGTGGTTTCAAAGATTTAAGAGGTTTTAAAGATAAATAAATATTTCAAAGATAAAAAATAAACAAGAAAAAATTCTATTTTTAAAAAGTTCTTAACTGCTTTTAATTGTTCTAAAGTAGTAGATATATTTTTGTTGCACTTTTTCAACCTTTCAGACTACTAAAAGGATTTTTGGTGAGTAATAGAAAAGCGCATTTAATTAACATAGACGATGTTAGATACAAGATATATTCGTGCTAAGCATTGCATTCCAAAGTCTAATAATAAAATCTTGAAGAAGCCACTTTCATCAGAAATAAATCTGCAGTTTAAAGACTCTAAAATCCACCAAAAATGTACACTACGTCTACATGAAAAATGCGACTCAATGCTATCTGAACTATTTTAAAACAAACAAATATATCTAATTAGAATCTTCACAACTGCAAAATTAAGCCAAAAAAAATCGCAAAAACTGACCTTTTAATCCACTTTGAAATGAACCTGTTCAACCTCCTTTTTTTGCCCATATCAAAGCACTTTTATTGATCACAAATTATTTGTCTCTATAAAATTGTTTAATTCACAGATACTATTCGAATGAGCGCACTGTCGCTGAATAGAACTTGAGCAGACTGTGTGGAATTCCCTCTTAAAAATTTATTTATAGACTACCCCAAACTATTTAAGAGAGAAGGAATGGGCGCCAAAAAATCTCAAAAATTGACTACACAGATCAAAATATTTACCCAAGAAAAAGTTATAGCATCATCACGTGTTTTAAGTGTAAGATTTTCATAATTAGATTTGGTTATTATAATATTATAACTATATTGAACAAACAACTTTATTTAATAAAGTTATTAACTACGTCAAAATTCTCTCCCTAAGTATTAAATTGTTTGTCATTAATTTCCTCAACTAAGGGGAAAGTTCTTTGAGAAAAGACACCTGTATTATGTAACATATGATTCATTGTAAAAATAAATAAGTACAGACAAAATCAATAACAACACAGTATTTACTTTAATTTTAAAACAATCATCCAATTGCTTGAATGTTAAATTTGTGTAATTGGTTTTCAAAACTAATTTAATACTTTATTAATTTCCTGACCGGTATTTGTCGTTTAAAGTACATTTTATTTAATAACAATTGAAGCGGTATATCTCCTTTTAAAACCATCAAATTAAAAAATAATGCATTTAATCGTATTAACATAAGTATGCCCTACTTAAACATAAATAAATTATCCTAGTTTAAAAAAACAGACACATGCAAAGGAAAGGCCTATTTACAAGCAAGTGCAAAGCAGTAGAGTTTCGCAAAAAATACGAGTATTTACAAAAAACACCCAGAAAAACACAGCACACAAGAACTAAGCGCGTTAAACAATAATCAAAGAGATTAAGGAAAAAACATGATTACGATGTTATCTGAGTAGAGACTTAAGTAAAGTAAATACGAACTTACCGATTAGATAAACGTTCAGGTAATCGCAACTAATCACCGAATTCACTGTTAATTTTACGTAGGGTGACCCAAATTACGCCCAAAATGCAATTAATTAAAAACACGTCCCACACGTCAAAACCACGGCAGACATTTTGAAGTATAACAAAAAAACAGGTTCTATCGATAAAGTAGACACCCACGCCTTTTACAGATTTCTTTAATTGTGAAGGGTTGTCAATGCAGTTTTCTGCAATATCTCGCGCCCTTTATCTACCGCTGGCTTGGTGTCGTGCATTTTAGTTTTATTATTTGAATATTTCGCGGAAAATACACTTCAGTTATGATGAATTACAACGAAATTTTAGATTCGTAAGTATACGTTATATATAATAAACATTCAAATTGTAGACTTGAGTTTTAGGTACAAAAAATTAGCAGCTCTAATTTCGAACCCCTCACCTGACTTGCAATACCCTGAAATTTATAACGCGCTGGGTAGTTTGGAGGAAGATTTAAACTTACTACAAATTCTAACACCTTCCAATGAGGGGCTGGTAAAATATTTTTGATGTGTTCGATAAAACCTCATAATGCATGCATATTTTACAGAATGGTGTTATTTTATTGAAAGACCAGGTGGTGGCGTTATTGAACTTTGTAGCTGGTTTAAACCACATGCAGCAGCAGCAGCAAGCTGCAGGTTTTGGAATTCCACCCCCGAGAAGTCAAAGTCCCAGCTCTGACTCCATCGATGAGCCTATTACCAGTGAACAGCTAAGCGTGAAGGGGTTTAAGGACATAGCGGGTATGTGGGAATTAAAGGAAGTCCTAAAAATGATGGTGATACTGCCGAAAAAGCAGCCGCAGCTATTTGAGAACCGAAGGATGACAAATAGCCTTTTATTGTTTGGTCCGCCAGGAACGGGGAAAACTAAAATTGTTCATGGCATTGCAGCTGAGGCGAATTGTTCTCTGTTTGCTATTTCAGTGGCTGATATTATGCAGAAATATTTGGGGGAGAGCGAAAAGTGAGTTTTATTTGGTTTTATTCCCTGTTTTAAAAGTGTTTTTTCATTTTAGGACAATTAAGAATTACTTTGAGATGGTTAGGAATTATAAGGGTTTTTCTATTTTGTTTTTTGATGAGATTGATAGTATTTCACAGAGGAGGGGTAGCAGAGATGCAGGATATTCCAGAAGGTAACATAAACTTTATTTTGCATAAAAAAAATTAAAAAGTCTTAAAAAATTTAAACCTATAAAATAAATTTGACGAAATTAGCGTTAAAGTGACAGATATATAACCTCAATTATTCGTTCTCAAATGTCAAATTGGAAATTTAAAATGTTAAAAAATAATATCAAAATTATATATGTAGGTACCTATGCCAAACGCATTTAAAAATTGTCAAAAACAATTTTAAATTTCAAACAAAGTCTACTTTGTAGTCTTCTTGTTTTAAACCTCAAAAAATATATTTTCAAAGCCATTTTCAATGTCAAACATTTTAAATTGACAAAAAAATATTTTAGAACGCCAAAGTTGGAATTCCAAACATTTAAAAATGTCAAAAACACAATTTTGAATTTTAAACCAAGAAGACTACAAAGAAGACTGTAGTTTCTTGTTTGAAACCTTTAAAATTGGCAACCTAAAAATATATTTTTAAAGTCATATTCAATATTATCAAAATTAAAATGTCAAACATTTAAAATTGTCAAAAAAATATTTTAGAACGTCAAAGTTAAAATTTTAAACCTTTAAAATTGACAAAAACCTTTGTTACACTGTCAAGACCTCAACAAATATATTTTCAAGGTCATATTCAAAATCTCAAACATTTAAAATTGACAAAAAATATTTTAGAATGTCAAAGTTGGAATTCCAAAAATTTTAAAATGTCAAAAACACAATTTTGAATTTTAAACCAAGAAGACTACAAAGGAGACTGTAGTCTTGTTTTAAACCTTTAAAATTGACACAAACCTGTGTTGGACTGACAAGACCTCAAAAATATATTTTCAAAGCCATGTTCAATTTTATCAAAATAAAAATGTCAAAAATACATATGTATGTATTTAAAATTGACAAAAAAATATTTTAGAATGTCAAAGTTGGAATTCCAAACATTTAAAAATGTCAAAAACAATTTTGACTTTTAGTCTTCTTGTTTAAAACTTTTAAAATTGGCAACCTAAAAATATATTTTTAAAGTCATATTCAATATTATTAAAATTAAAATGTCAAACGTTTCAAATTGACAAAAACCTGTGTTAGACTGTCAAGACCTCAACAAATATATTTTCAGTCATATTCAAAATATCAAACATTTAAAATTGTCAAAAAATATTTTAGAATGTCAAAGTTGGAACATTTAAAAATGTCAAACACAATTTTGAATTTTAAACCAAGAAGACTACAAAGAAGAGTATAGTCTTGTTTTAAACCCCATTTTAGAATGTCAAAGTTGGAATTCCAAAAATTTAAAAATGTCAAAAATACAATTTTGAATTTTAAACCAAGAAGACTACAAAGGAGACTGTAGTCTTGTTTTAAACCTTTAAAATTGACACAACCTGTGTTAAACGGACAAGACCTCAAAAATATATTTTCAAAATTAAAATGTTAAACAATACAAATTTAGAATTTCAAAGTTAAAATTTCAAACATTTCAAAATGTGAAAAAACCTATTTTGAATTACAAACCAGGAAGACTACAAAAAAGACTTTGCAGTCTTCTTGTTTCAAAACTTTAAAATTGACAAAACCCTGTGAAGACTTACTTCAACTGTCAAAAAATATTTATATCAATGTTGAAATTCGAAACATTTTAAAATGTCAAAAACAATTTTCAATTCCAAACCAAGACCACTTTGTAGTCTTCATGTTTCAAATCTTTAAAATCGACAAAAACCTGTCAAGATTATGTTAAAAACAAATCACGAATCGTGATTGGTCAGTCGAAAATCAAGCGTGCTTAAACCACGCCCACAACTCAGAGTCTTGAATAAAAATAACTGAGGTTATCTAACTGCCAGTTTAATGCTTATTTCGGCTTATTTTATGAAAATAATACAAAGTTTAAAAGATCGTTGATTTGGAAATTACTTAAGTAATTATACAATAAAAAAATGTCCTAAACTGTGTAAGTCTCAGAAGTTACTGAATTTACTGAAACTGACTTACAAATTACCAAAAATGGTGTTAAAACAGTCTTAAATTGTTCTGATAAAAATTACAAAAAATTAAAACTTTTGTGCGCAGGGTTTTGACAGAGTTCATGTGTCAAATGAACAAACTAGAGGAGACGCGCAATTGTTTAGTAGTCGCGGCCACCAACTGTCCGTGGGATTTGGACCCGGCGGTCATGCGCCGCTTCCAGCGCCGCGTCTACTGCCCCCTGCCGGACGATTTCGAACGCTACGAAATAATCAAATTGATGCTCGACGAGTCCGGCATCGAACCGCAAGCGCTCGATTGGTCGAGCCTGCAGAAACAAACGAAAGGGCTGTCGGGCAGCGACATAAAGAACGGGGTCCAAGCGGGCTTGGACAAGCCTCTGCTGGATCTGCAGGTATTCGTCACGATACACAAAATCCGGTGCGACGTCATGTGCGAACCATATACTTACCACCACAGACCACCAAAACAAATGGACGGCGCATATGCAATATTGCCATTCAAAAACAATGCTTTGTTTGCGGTCAACGAACGGTCACAGTCTAAGCGTTAAATTGGCTATAGAATTTTATGTTTTCTTCCAGTGACGTATTGCGTACTCCAAAACAGCTGATATAAATTTTTATGAACAAATATTGGAATTAAAAAAATAATATACAGGGTGTTATGTAATTAATGTTATATATTAAAATGGGTTGTTCCTTAGGGTCCATAAAGAAGCACCTGAAACTTTTTTTTTCTAAATTCCAAAGTCTAAAATTAATTTATAATAACCTTTATCCTACCAAAAAGTACGCAACTGATCGACTAGGAACTTTAGGTTAATCTGGTGGATTTATTATGTTATGGTTGGTAACAACAGTATTTCCAAACTCTCAAAAAAATGGACAAACATTGTTTAAATTTAGCTTAATTACAAAAATGACAAAATTAACAATGCAAATTGTCAATTTGGCGTTTTTATTAATTGTTGGTTATTTCATTTTTGTACTGAAGGTAAATTCAAACAAAATCTGCCAACTTTTATGACAGAATCTAGTGCATTTCTTTTAAATTTTAGGTTATGTTTTCAAATTGTAAATATCTTAACTAAGGGAAGTGCTTTTGGATTTATTTACACAAATTAAATGTTTAAAGTTTAACCTGTGAACTGGTCCCAATTTCATCTGAGTAAACAGAGAAAAAAACTGATGAAAAAATTAATTTTGTGGTTATGGATTTCAAATTTCAAAGGTACTAAATTTTCTAATCATTGCTTAAGCTAATAGCTGGATCAGTAAATAAATACAGAAGGGTATTAGAGCTTTAAGGGCATAAAACTTTTGTATTTATTGAGTTTTTATTTATTTTTTGCAAGAAAAATTTTTTGTAACAATTTTTTACATCTGGCAACGCATAGCTACTTTGTAGGTTGGTATCTATGTACTCACAAAATACAGGTGGTCAGAGATAAACAAGTGTGTAACCAGTGGCGTATCACAAAAAATATAAAAAACTTCTAATGCATATTTTTTCTTTATCTTTGGAAAAATGCTTTTTAAAATATTTTTCCTTTATTCCTTATGTCAAAAGGTATTCAGTATTTTAATATATAACATTAATTACATAACACACTGTATAATAATGTTATAATAATAATACTTAAGTAGGCATGCATTGTTATTTTTAGTAAAAAATAATGTATTTAAACTCAATAATTAACTTAAACACGATAGAAATACACAAACGGAAACACAAAACAACAAGCTGTCAACCTTTTTCTATGCTGTCAAATATGACGAATTTACCAACGTTGTTAATATTTAATTTTAATAATTATTAAATAATTTACTTTCTTTAAATAGAGAAAAATATCTAAAAAAAATGAACAAATTCTTTTTACAATATTTTTATTATTCAAACGAATTACTGGTAATTTTTAATGTTCATTATGTTATGATGAACGTCCAAAAAGGCGTGTAATCTATACTTCTGACAACGTTGGAAGCCGTGTTTCTTTCGACGGTGTTTAGAATGTGAAACTATGCTTTACTCGCTTTTTAAACGTAAACAAATCCGTCCATTTGTTTTGGTGGTCTGTGCTTACCACACTTATACAGATCATTTTGGTTTAATTTTTTTTATCTGGATTGCGGCAACGTTGCAAATTTAGGGTTTTGGTTGGTAAATACAGTTGTCAAGTTGGTCGCATTGATTAAAACAAACTAAGCTAGTTATAAATCTAATTGTGGTTATGTATAAATTATTGTAGTTGTCAAGTTGAGTTGTCGAAATTCGTAGTTAAAAATGCAATTAATTTGGCTTTGGTGGTGCTTGGATGAGTAAAATCTTATAAAAAAGTAGTTAAATATAGGTTGCTTTACGGCCCAGAAGAGAAAGTATTCCTAGCGGATAATAATCTTCGCTTTGTATAGAATTTGTATAAAAGAAATTAAAATTTTTGTGAACGTAAATGTTGTGCAATTTTGAATAAAGTGTGATGTAATATTTTTAAAACCAAATTCGTTACTTTTTTACTCCAAAAATGTCCATAAGGCGATGTACTTTTTCTTCCATTGTGGCATTTGGCATAATTTCATCAAAATGAAGTTTTGCCCTCAAAAGGGCTTTTACATTCGATTTCGTTGCTATTATTTTTGGCATAATTATATTTTTGTTTATTATTGACAATTAGATTATCAATAATAAATATTATTGTCAATTTGACATTTTTAAAAACTAAAAATACTAGTCAAACTGGCATAAACCACCAACCTAACAAAAAAACACGAGTTCAGATAAAAAAACATGGACTGTATGCAAAACTGTTTTCAACATTTGAATCTGGTTCGCACGTGACCTCACATCGTGGCATTTATTATAATTATTTAACGCGACACCCTCATAAATATATTATCGTAGGTTAATAGGTTATGGAAGGTGACAAAAAGTGGTTTTTTCGAACCTTGCGACAAAAATACCAGTCTTGAGGAAAATGTGGTTTGCATGAATTTAGACGACATCCCTGACAAAACTGTAAGGGCCTCAAAACCTAAAGTTGCGGATATTTTAAACGCTTTAAGTAAAGTTAAGCCTACAGTAAGCCAAAATGATGTTTTAAAATATCAGAAGTATAATGAAGAATTTTGACTTTTATGTTTATATTTTTTTTAACCGTTTTTTGTACTAAAACTATGTTCCGTTTCCATGTAGGTATTAAACTATCTTTAAGCCCAAATTTTGTTTATTTTTCCCCGCAAATAAAACCTCAAGTTCAGTTAAACACTTTATTAAATATATATTATTTTTAAATATACATAATATGTATTTAATACTAATGAGTGACAAACCTTAAAAATAAAAATCAATTTTGTTGAAAATTGAAATAAAACATTGAGGGGGAATGTGACTTTCACACTATATAGACACAGCCAAATAAATAATATCAAATTTTAGACATCTCTGAAAAAAACAAATTTAAAAAAAAATCACAGTAAATTTAAGTGTGAACTACAATAATTGCTTATATACTAATTGTTATTAATATTTGTTCAAATGTGTTTAATTTTACATTAAAAAAATGTAGAGCAGCAAAATTCAGTTTTAGGGTGGTTTATTAAAAAAAATCATCAATTTGTACTCTCCATCTACCCACTCTTTTGTCTATGGTGAAAACCACAGACCAAAAAACATGTAGATTAGACTGGGCCAAAAAAATCGCCTTTTTTTGGAAAGCATATCGAAAATATTGTTTGGGGTGACAAAAAAAATTATGGTGAAAGTTTGAGTCCATAATATTAATATTAAGAGGTCTATCATCGCAGTTTTAGATTTTTTTTCCTGAGCGAGTTTTTGTCTCAGAACTCCCAAATCATTGAGTTTAACAAAATTAACTTAAGAATATTTTTTGAAGAAAATTGAATGCTCTACAAAAAAGGTTTGATTGGAATTTCCCGTCAGATGAACCGTTTTCTTACAATCATGCCTTAAAAATTGCTATAGTTTTACAATTTGATCTTTTAACTTTAGAATTTTGTAATTCATGTACCCTGAAAAAAACCGATAAATATTCTTATGGGAAATCAAATGCTCTACAAAAAAAGTCTTTTATCATTTTTGGCTAAATTCACTCCATCAAGTTATTCAAGGTTAAATTTGAAGTGAAAACGAAATTTTAACCTTGAATAACTTTTGATTGAGTGAATTTAGCCAAAAATGTTAAGAGGCATTTTTTGTAAAGCATTTGATTTCCCATAAGAATATTTATAGGTTTTTTATGGGTACTGATTTTTACATGAATTACAAAATTCCAATTTAAGAGATCAAAATGTAAAACTATACCAATTTTTAAGGCATGATTTTAAGGAAACGGTTCATCTGACGGAAAATTTCACTTTAACCTTTTTTGTAGAGCATTTAATTTTCTTAAAAAAATATTTTTGAGTCAATTTTGTTAAACTAAATGATTTGGGAGTTCTGAGCCTAAAACTTGCCGATGAAAAAAAATTAAAATTGCGATGATAGACCTCTTAATATTAATATTATGGACTCAAACTTTCACAATAAATTTTGTTGTCACCCCAAACCATATTTTCGATATACTTTTCAAAAAAAAATAGTTGATTTTTTTGGCCTAGTCTAATGTAGATGGATAATAAATAATTAATTTAGTTTTCCACCCTGTAGTAATTAGCTTATTTGTACAGTGAAATAAATACATTGCCAATACAATCTAATGTATAAAATTTAACGTATACAATCGCACACTTCATTATAATTATAATAATTGCACTAATATAAACTGATTATTTATTGTTTATGTTTAACTTTGGTTAAAGTTCGGATTTCACGTAGAAAAAAATAATATTTTAGCCTAAAAACTACTGACACTCTCCCTGTCTTGCAGATCGTTTAATTGGGGGGGATTTAGGGGGCCGGGGGGCTCCAAGTCGGGAGCGCTGCCCCACTGGCCCCTGCACATTATGCTGTCGTCGTACAGAGAGTACCTGTTGTGACTGAAAGTTAAATAAACAAATTGACAGAAAAAATGGGAAGTCAAATTTTTTCCGACCTATACTTTTTATGGTTTTATTCAAGGCGATTTGTAATTTTAAACATTTCTGTGAAATCGGAATTTCAATTGAGTTTACCGTTTTCGAGATATTTACAAAAAAAAATCTCCTAATTACGTCACTAGGCTATTGACAACGTTGCCAGCTTTTTCTATGGTTGCCAGTGTGCTTAGTTTAAGATTCTTACGATAGATGGCGCCACGTTGTAATATTTTAGTTTTAAAACCACTTGATCTATAATTTTAGTTGAGAAGAAGAAGAAGAATTGATTTTTGGACGTTTCTTTTTTTCGGGTTATGTTTTTTTTAAATTTAGATTATTGAAAATCAATGTTATTGTTATGTTATTTGTAATTGATATTAGATAAGTGATTTATTAATAACGGACTCCAAAGCAGAGGAATCTTGTGGAATGGTTGGTTACATTGAACATTGGAGCTTTTAAACAAATAAAGTAAGTACCTATAATCATATAATCATATTTTGTCGTAAATGCATTTCATTAGTATAATGCCTAGTTCTTTATATTCTTTTAGATATTTCTTGGACTCTAAAATATCAAACAGTAATATGATACCTCGTAATAAGGAAGATAGGTACTTAATGAATTTGGTGACCATCTTTCACTCAACTGACAGTGACAGTATTTGTACATAACCTCTTCGGGTATTTTCTGACATAACCGAATGAAATCATTAACAAGACAACTTGACAACAGGGTAATTTTCAACCAATAGAAATCTTAGAATGTTGGTCACATGGCGAGGTTTGTGACGTCATAAAAATTTATATTTTTTGTAAATATCTCGAAAACGGTAAACTCAATTGAAATTCCGATTTCACAGAAATGTTTAAAATTACAAAACGCCTTGAATAAAACCATAAAAAGTATAGGTCAGAAAAAGTTTAACTACCCCATTAGGAAATAAAGTCTTACCTCGACTCTGTTGCGGCTTTACCCCTGGTCCTCCTCACGGATGGGGGCACGTCTCCAGGGGTCTTGACCCTCGTCGAGGGGTCTTTCAACCTTGACAGGTCGCTAGCGGAGGAAAAAACTTCGTTGAACTGCTCCAGAGACCGCTGTCGCGACAAACTGTTTTTGTTGCGGCCCAAAATTTGCTGCACGCCGCTGTTTGTGCTGTCGGGGGCGGGTTTCGCCACCGACAGGGGCAGAGTTGAGGGTCTTGGCGCTTCTTTAGCGCCTAGATGAATTAATGTGAAAAATATTAAATCGATATCGACTATTTTACAAAATACAGTGTGTATTAAAACGAATAGATACACTTAAATAAAACAAGTGCCAAACTGCATGCCCTTGTATCTGGCTGCATGCCGCGCTGTTGCCATATGCTATTATTGTTTCCTAAAAGGGTTGTTTTTCTTATTTTTTAATATTAAAGTAAGAAAATTAACTAAATCAAATTATTTTTGACTTATTATTAATTTTTTTGTTATTTTTAAAGTTTCAAACAAATAAAATTGAACTATTTATTAAATAATTATAATCATTCTCTTCTTATTTAAAAAAACCTGGTAATTACGAATGGCTTGGTTTAAACCACGCCCAATTAAAGTTTGTTTGTTTTTCTCTGATCAGAATATAATTTGTCATCCTTGTCTCCAGCCTTACTTACTTCATTCTATACAGTCTGTATAGTTATATAACTATTTTAATTTTAATTTTATCGTAAAAAATTCTTCATAAAAGTTATTAACGCGATTCTATTCATAAAATCAGTGAGTTTTAAAGCCAAAAAAGTTGTTTTGGTGAAAAATAAAAAAACGGCTTACCGTGCAGTAATGAGGTTGTTACGCCATTTTTTCCGAACCCATTGACGAGTTTCGTGTTGAGCTTGACTTGAGTGTCCTTGCAGCATGAAGAATCCGACGTTTTTTTGTGGTTAAACAGTTTTTTCAGTCCGTACCATTTAAATTTCGCTTTTGTTGGGGTTTCTTTCACTGTGTTTTGCTGCTTTGGACCTCCATGCACCGCGTTTTGGAGGTAGGGAATGGGGGTGGCTCTGTGATTTACCTGGGGGGAGAAAAAATTATTAAAAAAAATCCATGATTTTAATTTCAACTATTTTACTTGGAAGTTGAGATAGTCGTTGGTGATCAAATTTTGCGAGTCTGAGTTTGTGCAGTGCTTGGAAGATTTGTCTATTAACAAACTGTCGCTGGAACCACTCAGCAGATTCCTTTCCAGGCAAGGATTCCTGCCTTGGTAGGGTTGCATGGGATTCACGCAATTCGCCAAATGATTCGAATTTTTACAGTGCTCTTCTGACGGAGACAACAAAGTTTCTGAAAAATTAAACATATACTCCCAATTGAGAGACAAAGGAACATTTTTCTCACCGATTGTTCCAACCGAAGCATCAATTTGATGGCCGTGGAGATGGTTGTTGTTAATTAAAGGTGTAGGGCTTGCGGGGGGGTGCATTGGGTGCAAAATCCTCCCTTTCAGGTGGGGCAGTTCCAAGAGTCTTTCCGCCACGCATAGTGCTGTAAGGCGGGCTTCAGCATCCTAAGAAAAAAATTATATAAACTTTTGAAATAACCTAAAGTTAAAAAGTAGGTTATTTTAGAAGTTACATATATATAATTTTAACCTTTAGGTTTAGTTTAACTTTTGATATTACTTTTTGGTAAATTTACCACAGCTTTGGTTAATTTGCATATATTTTTTTAACCAACGAGTTATATTTTACCAAATATATTAACGTTAATTAATAAACTGGTTTAAAAAGTGATGGTTTTGCAGTTTTCATTGTTACCTGCATAGAAAAATTAGTCAGGGTGTTATGTAATTTATGTTATATATTAAAATGGGTTGTTCCTTAGGGTCCATAAAGAAGCAACTTTGTTTTTCTAAATTCCAAAGACTAAAAATAATTTATAATAACCTTTATCCTACCAAAAAGTACGCCACTGATCGACTAGGAACTTTAGGCTAATCTGGTTGCCTAATTTAATTTATTATGTTATGGTTGGTAACAACAGCAAATTTTAGGTTATGTGCTCAAATTGTAAATATCTTAACTAAGGGAAGTGCTTTTGGATTTATTTACACAAATTGAAAGTTTAAAGTTTAACCTGTGAACTGGTCCCAATTTCATCTGAGTAAACAGAAAGAAAAAACCGTGGTTAAAATTAATTTTGTGGTTATGGATTTTTTAAAATAGGTACTAAATTTTCTAATCATTGCCTAAGCTAATAGCTGGATGAGTAAATAAATACAGAAGGGTATTAGAACTTTAAGGGCATAAAACTTTTGTATTTATTGAGTTTTTATTTATTTTTTGCAAGAAAAATTTTTGGTAACAATTTTTTACATCTGGCAACGCGCAGCTACTTTGTTGGTTGGTATCTATGTACTCACAGAACACAAGTGTGCAGAGATAAACCAAGTGTGTAACCAGTGGCGTATCACAAAAAATATAAAAAACTTCTAATGCATATTTTTTTTTTATCTTTGGAAAAATATTTTTTTAAATATTTTTCCTTTACTCCTTATGTCAAAAGGTATTCAGTATTTTAATATATAACATTAATTACATAACACCCTGTATATAAACCTATAGGTTGTGAGTTTTATAAAAATAAACCAGGGCTGCAATTAAACTAATTTTGGTAATTATTAACCGAATTTAAACCAAAACCAAAGAGTTATAAATTACAGATAGCCTATCTACTACTACTTTATTTACCTATCTGAGATAGGTAAATAAAGTAGTTAAATTAAACACAATTAAATAACCAAACGGTTAAATACACTTGCAGGTTAATTTATAATGGTTATATAACCAATAAGTAAAATCATCTTAAAATTGCCATATTGTTTGCTGTCCATTTTAACAAAAGAAAATTTAAATAATTTGTTTTATTCCAAAAATAAGGTAATTTAAAATAAACAATAATAAAACATAATAAATATTATTTTATGTTTAAAAGTATTTTAAACCAATTCAAACAAAATAAAGAAAAAGTAGGCAAAAATATTTTTTTTTCTTTAATTCTTATTTTTTTCAAAGCGCATTTATTATATGAAAGTATTATGTACTACTTAATTCATTAAAACTATGTCTTTAAGATAAAATTTAAAATAAACTTAAACCGGTTAATTATAGTTTAAGTTGACTTCAGAGTTAAAAAGTAGTTAATAAAGGGTAAAATAACCCAAAAACCTTATTTTTAACCAAAAGGTACATTGACCTTAACACTTATTCAAAATAACGTTAATTTAAGGTTGTAGTACAATATTACTCAAATGATTTGACCAGGCATAACGTTAATTTAACCAGTTGTGCTTTGTGATCCTAATGGTTCAAAAATTGATTTTTCGTTGTTATTTTTATGTTTTGGGCCAATTTATATATTATATTATTATATTTATATAATAATAATAACCTTTATTTACGCATATAGCTTTTTACAACAAACAGTACATACAACACAATATTTAAAAACATTTATGGAGACTAGTAAAATCCACCAAATCTGAATACACATTAAATGTTTACCAATCCTATATAAGGGAGAATTAGCACCATATAGTGGTAGACTCAAAATGATTATTACGTAAATTATTATAGGGAATATAAAAATTTATTTTAAATAACAAATGGGGAGCAGAAACAAAATCATTAATAATTTAAAAAAAGCACAATGTCACTAATGAAAACATTAAATAACAAAGGACCCAACACAGAGGATATAAACGAAAAGTTTGCTTACTTGATCCCAGCAATCTTCGGACGTCTCGCAGAGCAACCTGGCTGCGGCGGTATTTTTCCACGACGCCGGCCACAACGGTCGCGCTTTCCTTCGGCTCACCAGCGTCTGCATCTGCTCGAGCGACGGGTTCTCGCCCGCCTCTTTGGCGAAAGGCGGCGCGTACGGGTGCGGCTCGGCGTTCTGCATGTCCGAACACCTGGAGCCCAGCTCCCAAAGCACCAAGCCCAGCGCGTACACGTCGATCTGCTTCAAGGCGCTTTCGCAGTCCCTCAAGTTGACGGCGCCTGAGAAAAAAGTTTTTTCGTTTTGAGTGCAAATACCGACAGACAGCTGTTTCATCAGTGTCGGGCAACTTGATGTATTGGAACACACTCAAAACAAAGGATCCCTCAGCTTATATGCTCGGTTGGTAAGCCAACAGAGGCGAGATGTAAGAACATCACGTGATCCACACTGTCAATTTTTTCTTATGAATATTAGCATTAATGAATCAAGAAAGTTTTTAAGTCCTATTTTTAGGATTTTAAGACAAATTTAAAATTTTGCAAACGTTTAAAATAAATTATTTATTGGACAACATAATCAAAATAAAAAAATCTTCTTTTTATCCTAGACTGGCCGAAAAAATCGACTATTTTTTTTGTAAAGTAGGTATATCGAAAATATTGTTTGGGGTGACAAAAAAAATTATTGTATTATAAGAGGTCTATTATGGCAATTTTAATTTTTTTTCCCTGAGCAAGTTTTTGTCTCAGAACTTTCAAACCATTTAGTTTAACAAAATTGGCTCGAAAATATTTTTTTAAGGAAATTAAATTCTCTACAAAAAAGGTCTTAATGAAATTTTCCTTCAGATGAACCGTTTCCTTACAATCATGCCTTAAAAATTGGTATAGTTTTACATTTTGATTTTTAAATTGGAATTTTGTAATTAATATAAAAATCAGTACCCATAAAAAAACCAATAAATATTCTTATGGGAAATTAAATGCTCTACAAAAAAGTCTTTTATCATTTTTGGCTAAATTCACTCCATCAAAAGTTATTCAAGGGTAAAGTTGAAGTCAAAACGAAATTCTTGTTTTTTCCTCTGTAGATTTATTTTTTTATGGATGCTAATTTATAAATGTGTATTATATAACAAATTAACAATTTGCAATAAAAAACAACATGATTGTTATTATTTAAACGGTTAAATAACAGTAGAAATGATATTTTCTAAAGAAAATAGCTTCTTAAAGCGAAAAAATTCGAATGTTTTATAATTTTTTTTAATTTTCAGTAATTTTATCAATAACATAAAGATTATCATCGATAAAAAATTCAAGTTTTTAACTGATCCAAAAAAAATCTAGTGGAAAAAACAAGAATTTTGTTTTGACTTCAACTTTAACCTTAAATAACTTTTGATGGAGTGAATTTAGCCAAAAATGAGACTTTTTTTGTAGAGCCTTTGGTTTCCCATAAGAATATCTATCGGTTTTTATCCGGGTACTGATTTTAACATGAATTACGAAATTCCAAAGTTAAAAGATCAAATTGTAAAACTATACCAATTTTTAAGACATGATTTTAAGGAAACGGTCCATTTGACGGAAAATTTCACTTTAACCTTTTTTGTAGAGCATTTAATTTTCTTAAAAAAATATATCCGGGTCAATTTTGTTAAACTCAATGGTTTGGTAGTTCTGAGACAAAAACTCGCTCAGTAAAAAAATGTCAAATTGCGATAATAGACCTATTAATATTATGAACTTTCACAATAATTTTGTTGTCACCCCAAACAATATTTTCGATATACTTTACAAAAAAATAGTCGATTTTTTTTTATTAATAAGTAATTTTTTCTTTTTTTTTTAATCTTTAATTTTATCATAGTAAAGGCACTCTGTAGGTCCGATTTATTAATTGTGTTCTTTACAGTATTAAATAGTTTTTAAATTTCAATTTTGTTTTGATTGCAGTCAATTTGATCATTAAATTCGCTAATTTTGATCACACAACCTTAGAGTAGGTAACCAAGATCACAAACTGATGTTTTGGTGTTTTTATCACGACGAAATCATGTGACAGGTGCTTTAAGCCTGATTTATAGGTTGTCTTCCTTCTTCCCGTAAAACAATACGAAAACCGTAGTGCCGTTTATAGATTCCCGTACGGGATTGTATTGTTCTTCTACGGGAGGAAGGAAGGCAATCTATAAAACAGGCTTTATGGGGCAATTTAAATATTAACAAATTTAATTATACAATTATTTTAATTTCTAACTTGGGAATCTAAAATGATAAAATGTAAAATCAAAATGTAACCCCTGAAAATAGACCAACATTCGATGTAGAAGCAGTTTTTCAAAGTAAAAGAGAAGAGAATGCTTTATGGGCACCGCACGCGAAATTTTTAACGTATTTTATTATTTTTACAGCTTACCTTCTAATACTTCTGGAGCCATGTATCGCAAAGTTCCAGCTTCACTGAAAGCCCTATTTTCCGACCTTCTGGGTATCAAAGCCAAACCCAAGTCGCTTATCACGCACGATAAGTCCGACCTGACCAGCACGTTTTTCGTGTTCAGATCCCTATGAACTATGCACGGTTTGCCTAGATCGCAATGCAAGTGAGATAAACCTTTGGCCACCTAAACAAAAACAATCTTGAAATATCGAAAAAGAATAATCATATATTATATCACGAGAACTATGAATTTAATCGGTTAAACTAGGCTCAGTAGTTCAAATAAAAAACTTACTGAGCATAGTTTGACAGATTAAATTTATAGGTTGAGTGATATACGTCTAGATTATTTCTCGAATTAAAGGAAACTATTTGACAATTCATAAAATCTGACGTATGTGTCAAAATTTATAAATATTTTTTTAAAGAAAATTCCATTAATTTAAGGTATGTAATATGTAATAATTGATATTTCGTAAACTAGATAACTTATTTTTTATTGTTTTTTAAAAAATGTTTGTTAAAACTTGTAAATATAACACCATACAATCGTAAACAAAAATCCAATATGGAGGCTAAAATTTAATCGCTGTTAAATAGTTCAATTCAAGGCTTTTGATTGGTTCATATTATAATGAGGGAAATAAACAAGTTTTATTATAATTTTTATGCGAATTTGAAGGAAAAAATAATAGGCAATTACATTTTTAAATCAAAATTAATTAAACGAAAAAAAATTTGACATGGATTCTTTTAAACAATCAAATAAAAAACTTACTGAGCATAGTTTGACAGATTAAATTTATAGGTTGAGTGATATACGTGTAGATTATTTCTCGAATTAAAGGAAACTATTTGACAATTCATAAAATCTGACGTATGTGTCAAAATTTATAAATATTTTTTTAAAGAAAATTCCATTAATTTAAGGTATGTAATAAGTAATAATTGATATTTCGTAAACTAGATAACTTATTTTTTATTGTTTTTTAAAAAATGTTTGTTAAAACTTGTAAATATAACACCATACAATCGTAAACAAAAATCCAATATGGAGGCTAAAATTTAATCGCTGTTAAATAGTTCAATTCAAGGCTTTTGATTGGTTCATATTATAATGAGGGAAATAAACAAGTTTTATTATAATTTTTATGCGAATTTGAAGGAAAAAATAATAGGCAATTACATTTTTAAATCAAAATTAATTAAACGAAAAAAAATTTGACATGGATTCTTTTAAACAATCAAATAAAAAACTTACTGAGCATAGTTTGACAGATTAAATTTATAGGTTGAGTGATATACGTGTAGATTATTTCTCGAATTAAAGGAAACTATTTGACAATTCATAAAATCTGACGTATGTGTCAAAATTTATAAATATTTTTTTAAAGAAAATTCCATTAATTTAAGGTATGTAATAAGTAATAATTGATATTTCGTAAACTAGATAACTTATTTTTTATTGTTTTTTAAAAAATGTTTGTTAAAACTTGTAAAAACACCATAAAATCGTAAACAAAAATCCAATATGGAGGCTAAAATTTAATCGCTGTTAAATAGTTGTAGTGATTTAATCGCTTATTTAAACGAAATTTATTCGAACATTCAAGGCTTTTGATTGGTTCATATTATAATGAGGGAAATAATCAAGTTTTATTATAATTTTTATGCGAATTTGAAGGAAAAAATAATAGGCAATTACATTTTTAAATCAAAATTAATTAAACGAAAAAAAATTTGACATGGATTCTTTTAAACAATCAAATAAAAAACTTACTGAGCATAGTTTAACAGATTAAATTTATAGGTTGAGTGATATACGTGTAGATTATTTCTCGAATTAAAGGAAACTATTTGACAATTCATAAAATCTGACGTATGTGTCAAAATTTATAAATATTTTTTTAAAGAAAATTCCATAAGTAATAATTGATATTTCGTAAACTAGATAACTTATTTTTTATTGTTTTTTAAAAAATGTTTGTTAAAATTTGTAAATAACACCATAAAATCGCAAACAAAAATCCAATATGGAGGCTAAAATTAAATCGCTGTTAAATAGTTCTAGTGATTTATCCGCTTATTTAAACGAAATTTATTCGAAAATTCACGGCTTTTGATTGGTTCATATTATAATGAGGAAAATAATGATATATTATATCACAAGAACTATGAATTTAATCGGTTAAACTAGGCTCAGTAGTTTTTTGTTTGGTTTTTCTTGTTGGAAAATAGTTTCATGCAAAATAATTTAATAAAATCACGAGACCGCGTAGCGGTCGAGGGGTTTTATTTTTAATTATTTTGCCTGAAACTATTTTCCAAAAAGAAAAATCAAATAAAAAACTTACTGAGCATAGTTTGACAGATTAAATTTATAGGTTGAGTGATATACGTGTAGATTATTTCTCGAATTAAAGGAAACTATTTGACAATTCATAAAATCTGACGTATGTGTCAAAATTTATAAATATTTTTTTAAAGAAAATTCCATTAATTTAAGGTATGTAATAAGTAATAATTGATATTTCGTAAACTAGATAACTTATTTTTTATTGTTTTTTAAAAAATGTTTGTTAAAACTTGTAAATAACACCATAAAATCGTAAACAAAAATCCAATATGGAGGCTAAAATTTAATCGCTGTTAAATAGTTCTAGTGATTTAATCGCTTATTTAAACGAAATTTATTCGAACATTCAAGGCTTTTGATTGGTTCATATTATAATGAGGGAAATAATCAAGTTTTATTATAATTTTTATGCGAATTTGAAGGAAAAAATAATAGGCAATTACATTTTTAAATCAAAATTAATTAAACGAAAAAAAAATTGACATGGATTCTTTTAAACAGTCAAATAAAAAACTTACTGAGCATAGTTTGACAGATTAAATTTATAGGTTGAGTGATATACGTGTAGATTATTTCTCGAATTAAAGGAAACTATTTGACAATTCATAAAATCTGACGTATGTGTCAAAATTTATAAATATTTTTTTAAAGAAAATTCCATTAATTTAAGGTATGTAATAAGTAATAATTGATATTTCCTAAACTAGATAACTTATTTTCTATTGTTTTTTAAAAAATGTTTGTTAAAACTTGTAAATACCACCATAAAATCGTAAACAAAAATCCAATATGGAGGCTAAAATTTAATCGCTGTCAAATAGTTCTAGTGATTTAATCGCTTATTTAAACGAAATTTATTCGAACATTCAAGGCTTTTGATTGGTTCATATTATAATGAGGGAAATAATCAAGTTTTATTATAATTTTTATGCGAATTTGAAGGAAAAAATAATAGGCAATTACATTTTTAAATCAAAATTAATTAAACGAAAAAAAATTTGACATGGATTCTTTTAAACAATCAAATAAAAAACTTACTGAGCATAGTTTGACAGATTAAATTTATAGGTTGAGTGATATACGTGTAGATTATTTCTCGAATTAAAGGAAACTATTTGACAATTCATAAAATCTGACGTATGTGTCAAAATTTATAAATATTTTTTTAAAGAAAATTCCATTAATTTAAGGTATGTAATATGTAATAATTGATATTTCGTAAACTAGATAACTTATTTTCTATTGTTTTTTAAAAAATGTTTGTTAAAACTTGTAAATAACACCATAAAATCGTAAACAAAAATCCAATATGAAGGCTAAAATTTAATCGCTGTTAAATAGTTGTAGTGATTTAATCGCTTATTTAAACGAAATTTATTCGAAAATTCACGGCTTTTGATTGGTTCATATTATAATGAGGAAAATAATGATATATTATATCACAAGAACTATGAATTTAATCGGTTAAACTAGGCTCAGTAGTTTTTTGTTTGGTTTTTCTTGGAAAATGTTGAATGCAAAATAATTTAATAAAATCACGAGACCGCGTAGGGATCGAGGGGTTTTATTTTTAATTATTTTGCCTGAAACTATTTTCCAAAAAGAAAAATCAAATAAAAAACTTACTGAGCATAGTTTGACAGATTAAATTTATAGGTTGAGTGATATATGTGTAGATTATTTCTCGAATTAAAGGAAACTATTTGACAATTCATAAAATCTGACGTATGTGTCAAACTTTATAAATATTTTTTTAAAGAAAATTCCATTAATTTAAGGTATGTAATAAGTAATAATTGATATTTCGTAAACTAGATAACTTATTTTCTATTGTTTTTTAAAAAATGTTTGTTAAAACTTGTAAATAACACCATAAAATCGTAAACAAAAATCCAATATGGAGGCTAAAATTTAATCGCTGTTAAATAGTTCTATTGATTTAATCGCTTATTTAAACGAAATTTATTCGAACATTCAAGGCTTTTGATTGGTTCATATTATAATGAGGGAAATAATCAAGTTTTATTATAATTTTTATGCGAATTTGAAGGAAAAAATAATAGGCAATTACATTTTTAAATCAAAATTAATTAAACGAAAAAAAAATTGACATGGATTCTTTTAAACAGTCAAATAAAAAACTTACTGAGCATAGTTTGACAGATTAAATTTATAGGTTGAGTGATATACGTGTAGATTATTTCTCGAATTAAAGGAAACTATTTGACAATTCATAAAATCTGACGTATGTGTCAAAATTTATAAATATTTTTTTAAAGAAAATTCCATTAATTTAAGGTATGTAATAAGTAATAATTGATATTTCCTAAACTAGATAACTTATTTTCTATTGTTTTTTAAAAAATGTTTGTTAAAACTTGTAAATACCACCATAAAATCGTAAACAAAAATCCAATATGGAGGCTAAAATTTAATCGCTGTCAAATAGTTCTAGTGATTTAATCGCTTATTTAAACGAAATTTATTCGAACATTCAAGGCTTTTGATTGGTTCATATTATAATGAGGGAAATAATCAAGTTTTATTATAATTTTTATGCGAATTTGAAGGAAAAAATAATAGGCAATTACATTTTTAAATCAAAATTAATTAAACGAAAAAAAATTTGACATGGATTCTTTTAAACAATCAAATAAAAAACTTACTGAGCATAGTTTGACAGATTAAATTTATAGGTTGAGTGATATACGTGTAGATTATTTCTCGAATTAAAGGAAACTATTTGACAATTCATAAAATCTGACGTATGTGTCAAAATTTATAAATATTTTTTTAAAGAAAATTCCATTAATTTAAGGTATGTAATATGTAATAATTGATATTTCGTAAACTAGATAACTTATTTTCTATTGTTTTTTAAAAAATGTTTGTTAAAACTTGTAAATAACACCATAAAATCGTAAACAAAAATCCAATATGAAGGCTAAAATTTAATCGCTGTTAAATAGTTGTAGTGATTTAATCGCTTATTTAAACGAAATTTATTCGAAAATTCACGGCTTTTGATTGGTTCATATTATAATGAGGAAAATAATGATATATTATATCACAAGAACTATGAATTTAATCGGTTAAACTAGGCTCAGTAGTTTTTTGTTTGGTTTTTCTTGGAAAATGTTGAATGCAAAATAATTTAATAAAATCACGAGACCGCGTAGGGATCGAGGGGTTTTATTTTTAATTATTTTGCCTGAAACTATTTTCCAAAAAGAAAAATCAAATAAAAAACTTACTGAGCATAGTTTGACAGATTAAATTTATAGGTTGAGTGATATATGTGTAGATTATTTCTCGAATTAAAGGAAACTATTTGACAATTCATAAAATCTGACGTATGTGTCAAACTTTATAAATATTTTTTTAAAGAAAATTCCATTAATTTAAGGTATGTAATAAGTAATAATTGATATTTCGTAAACTAGATAACTTATTTTCTATTGTTTTTTAAAAAATGTTTGTTAAAACTTGTAAATAACACCATAAAATCGTAAACAAAAATCCAATATGGAGGCTAAAATTTAATCGCTGTTAAATAGTTCTATTGATTTAATCGCTTATTTAAACGAAATTTATTCGAACATTCAAGGCTTTTGATTGGTTCATATTATAATGAGGGAAATAATCAAGTTTTATTATAATTTTTATGCGAATTTGAAGGAAAAAATAATAGGCAATTACATTTTTAAATCAAAATTAATTAAACGAAAAAAAAATTGACATGGATTCTTTTAAACAGTCAAATAAAAAACTTACTGAGCATAGTTTGACAGATTAAATTTATAGGTTGAGTGATATACGTGTAGATTATTTCTCGAATTAAAGGAAACTATTTGACAATTCATAAAATCTGACGTATGTGTCAAAATTTATAAATATTTTTTTAAAGAAAATTCCATTAATTTAAGGTATGTAATAAGTAATAATTGATATTTCGTAAACTAGATAACTTATTTTCTATTGTTTTTTAAAAAATGTTTGTTAAAACTTGTAAAAACACCATAAAATCGTAAACAAAAATCCAATATGGAGGCTAAAATTTAATCGCTGTCAAATAGTTCTAGTGATTTAATCGCTTATTTAAACGAAATTTATTCGAACATTCAAGGCTTTTGATTGGTTCATATTATAATGAGGGAAATAATCAAGTTTTATTATAATTTTTATGCGAATTTGAAGGAAAAAATAATAGGCAATTACATTTTTAAATCAAAATTAATTAAACGAAAAAAAATTTGACATGGATTCTTTTAAACAATCAAATAAAAAACTTACTGAGCATAGTTTGACAGATTAAATTTATAGGTTGAGTGATATACGTGTAGATTATTTCTCGAATTAAAGGAAACTATTTGACAATTCATAAAATCTGACGTATGTGTCAAAATTTATAAATATTTTTTTAAAGAAAATTCCATTAATTTAAGGTATGTAATATGTAATAATTGATATTTCGTAAACTAGATAACTTATTTTCTATTGTTTTTTAAAAAATGTTTGTTAAAACTTGTAAATAACACCATAAAATCGTAAACAAAAATCCAATATGGAGGCTAAAATTTAATCGCTGTTAAATAGTTGTAGTGATTTAATCGCTTATTTAAACGAAATTTATTCGAAAATTCAAGGCTTTTGATTGGTTCATATTATAATGAGGGAAATAGTTTCTTACGCCCAAACTCATCTTGGTTAAAACGGGGACGTCCAAGGTGTGAACCTTGAGGTACTCCTGCAGGCACTCCTGCTCGAGGCTGAGCAGCAACAAGTGGTCGGTTGGCCCGCCAGGCGTCACTTGGTACTCGCCGCTGCCGAGGCAGTTCAGGAGGGCGCTGCACTCGCCCGCCACCCGGTACATTTCGTTCTCGTTGAGGTAGTAGTGCCGGTGGTGGGACTGGAACACTTTCACCGCCAACTGTTTACCGTCGATGACGCCCCGCCACACGCAGCCGTAGCGGCCCTGGCCTGCGAAATAACACACAATAACCTTTTTGATCTACTAAGAGAATAACGCAATAAAAACAACATAAATACCACTAATTTACGTAAAAATAACGCTAAAGTATATCGAAAATATTATTTGGGGTGACAAAAAAAAATTATGATGAATATTAATATTAAGAGGTCTATCATCGCAATTTGAGATTTTTTTTTCCTGAGCGAGTTTTTGTCTCAGAACTCCCAAATCATTGAGTTTAACAAAATTGACTTGGGAATATTTTTTGAAGAAAATTAAATGCTCTACAAAAAAGGTTTGATTGGAATTTCCCGTCAGATGAACCCTTTTCTTACAATCATGCCTTAAAAATTGGTATAGTTTTACAATTTGATCTTTTAAATTGGAATTTTGTAATTCACGTAAAAATCAGTACCCATAAAAAACCGATAAATATTCTTATGGGAAATCAAATGCTTTTCAAAAAAAGCCTCTCAACATTTTTGGCTAAATTCACTCAATCAAAAGTTATTCAAGGTTAAAATTTCGTTTTGACTTCAAATTTAACCTTGAATAACTTTTGATGGAGTGAATTTAACCAAAAATGATAAAAATCTTTTTTTGTAGAGCATTTGATTTCCCATAAGAATATTTATCGTTTTTTTTAGGGTAATGATTTTTACATGAACTGCAAAATTACAAAGTTAAAAGATCAAAATGTAAAACTATACCAATTTTTAAGGCATGATTATAAGAAAACGGTTCATCTTACGGGAAATTCCAATCAAACTTTTTTGTAGAGCATTCAATTTTCTTCAAAAAATATTCTTAAGTCAATTTTGTTAAACTCAATGATTTGGGAATTCTATGACAAAAACTTGCTGTGGAAAAAAAATTAAAATTGCGATTATAGACCTCTTAATATTAATATTATGGACTCAAACTTTCACCATAATTTTTTTGTCACCCCAAATAATAGTTTCGATAGTTTACAAAAAAAAAAATAGTCGATTTTTTTTGGCCCAGTCTACTATTATATTTTAGAAAAATATTTATGAAAAATATTATAAAAATGTTTAGATAAGTAATGGATGCCATCTTAAAAAACTCATTATGGCGACCTGAAAAAAGTTTTATTTTTCCTTGTTATGTCAATATTAATAGTATTTATTACCACTAATCTTAATATCGTAAAATTATGACTTATAAGTAACATTTACCATTAAGTAAAAATTGTGGCGTTAAAAATACCGTTAAATGTTACTTTAGGTGGAATACAATTGTTGAAACTTAAGGGTTATTAAAATAGGTAAAAACACAATCCACACAACAAGGTCTGTTCTATCTCGTACTAAAAATACAAAAAATCACTGCAACACAATACAATACAATTTTTGTGCTTTGTGTTTGTGCTCTGTTTATACAGATTAATAAATGTTTTAAACGTTGTGTTTCTCATAAAAGAGTCCTTAAAGTGCTAAGAACAACCATTTTTCTCCTCTATTGTAAAAAATAAACTTTATTCTATCAGAGCTATCATAAAACTGTCAAATGTCAATTTTAAGGTTAAATTATAACCCACAAATTAAACTTCAAATTGTCATTTGACAGTCCTGATAGAATAAGGTATATTTATTATAAAAGAGTAGTAAAATGCACTTAAAGGCCTTATTTGAGGCTTACAAGTGCCTCTGTAAGAAACGTTTACAACAATTATTAAACAGCACAAAATTATTAAACAGCACAAAAATGGCCGCAGTGTTGCAGTGATTTTTAGTATTTTTAGCATGGAGCCTACACAAGGAGCCCGAACTTAATAGGAAAAATTGACAAAACCTGTCCACCAGCGGCGCTGATTGTCGATGCGTCCGTATGACGTGAAAATACATGTGAAGTAAGCAAGTAAGTTTTGACAATTGATTTGCAATAATGTTTTGACGTACGAATCGTTTTGTTATTTATGGCTGTACCTGGTAGGTAGATGGTAATGAATAGGTTTTGGTTGTGAAATATGTGATTCTTTATAATCTGTGAAGTGATTTTACGACTCTGGAGAAGCAAAATTAGATTTCCAGGTTAGAAATACACCGCTATTTAATAATTTAAATTTAATTTAAATAAAAAAGTCTTATGTATAAAATGAGTAAACAGCATATTTAATAATTTCCACGTTTATATGTTTATTTTGAACTTTTATTTAAGCCATCTACCTATAAAACTAAAAATAAATACCATATGGATTTAATATTCTGTTAGTTTTACACGATTTAACATCACACGACATTATTTTATAGAAAAAACACGTATTTATAAAAAACTGTACTATGCTCTACATCAGAAAGTCCAACATGAATTCCAATGTTAAATTTGATATAAATTTATTGTAAATTAAGACCTTTATACACAAAACCAGGTACATGGGTACAGAAAGCGATAAACTGACAGTTGCATAACCTCAATTATTTGCACAATAATAAGTGGTAGGTAGTGGCGCCATCTCTGGTTATACCCCTCTACTGTTTTGGGCCGGTAGTACACCAGCGCCCTCTTATCTTAGGAAGATTCTTGTTAACATGAAGTTCGGGCTCCTTGTGTAGGCTCCATGATTTTTAGCATGAGATTGAACAGAACTTGTTGTGTGGATTGTGGGTAAAAATAACATAAATAAAACTTATTAAAATAAAATGCTGCATTATCTCACCTATGACCTCCTCCAGCATCATGTTTCGCAAACTGATGGTAGTGGTGACCGTCTCGATCGAATCGCTCTCCTCCACGTCGAACTCCTTCGACTTCTTCCGATACAAGGGACACCTGTAGATGACGTAGTACAGGACGTAGGGCAAGAAGAACACGGCGGCCACACCCAGGCACACGCCCGCGAATACGACTAATTCGCTCGGCTCGTAGACGGCAGGGGGCGCTGCCGTCTCGTTCAGAGGCACGTAGGCGTCCGTGAAGTTCTCGTTGCACATCGGGCTCGAGCAGCAGCAGAACTTCGCCGCTTCCATCGCCTTGGGAGGCTCTTTATCGGCCTTACAGTCCCCTGGGTCGCATTCGTTAGGTTTGCCTGACGCGTGCCAGCAGCCTGTTTTGTTTCAACAAAATCGTTTTCATAAGGTTTTGTGTGCACAGCAGGGTGATTCATTTCCGCAAAGTTTTTGTTTTCTTCGGTGCTCAAGCAAAATATTAATCTGCATATAGAAACAAAAATTTGAGCTCTTAATATAAATTTTAAGTACTTACTATTTAAATTTAAAGTTTTACCGTTTAAAATGCATGTAAAAAATATATATATTTTTTCAAATTTCTAATGCTTACCCACCTTTGACAATATTGCAAATCGGTTTAATACACCTTATGGGGAATTTCACGCTCTTTAAAATTGCTTTTGAGTTTTTTTTTTGTAACTCGCATTGGTTCACCAGTAGTAGGACAGTTTTTGAAAAAAATCGTTTTTTTTTTAAATTTTTTCCAACAAACCGCAAAAAGTAGGGAGAAAAAAGGGCTGAATCATAAAAAAAGTTATCCAACCAATATTTAATGAATTTACAGCCATTTTTATAACTGAAAACGTAAGAAATTGATAAATACCAACTCATAATGTTATTTAGATTGATTTTTTCTATTTATTATCATTATATTTCCCTACACTAAGAAGTTTTTTAAAATTATTGATTTCTCACTTATAATGAATATATGAAAACAACACATAAATTCATAAAAAAACAATAAGAAAATTGTAACGTGGATTTTGCAATTTTTCAACATTTCTGTCATATAGCAAAAAAATATAAATGAAGATTATTTAATTTTTTGAAGCAAAATTTGAAATATGTTACATAACCTTCTGTATATTCCGATTAAAGTTTTGTTGTTTTTTTATGAATTTTATGAATTTATGTGTTGTTTTCATATTCATTATGAGTGAGAAATCATAATAATTTTAAAAAAGTTCTTAGTGTAGGGAAATATAATGATAATAAATAGAAAAAATCAATCTAAATAACATTATGGGTTGGTATTTATCAATTTCTTACGTTTTCAGTTATAAAAATAAATTCATTAAATATTGGTTGGATAACTTTTTTTTTATGAATCAGCCCTTTTTTATCACTACTTTTGGCGATTTGCTCGAAAAAAATTAAAAAAAAAACGATTTTTTTTTCTAAAACTGTCCTTTGACGACTCCTACTGATGAACCAATGCGAGTTACAAAAAAAACTCAAAAGCAATTTTAAAGAGCGTGAAATTCCCCATAAGGTGTATTAAACCGATTTGCGATATTGTCAAAGGTGGGTAAGCATTAAAAATTTGAAAAAAAAAATATATTTTTTACATGCATTTTAAACGGTAAAACTTTAAATTTAAATAGTAAGTGCTTAAAATTAATATTAGCTTAGTTCGCGGAGCTCATCCATGATCAATCCGCGACAACTGCGCATGCGCACTGGCAATTTTAGCGTTCGCGGTGTAAAAATCGGCAACATTTGACATTTGATCACTCGTTCGCGAAGCCTTCGGGACCAGTTTCGAACTAATTACTGACAAGTCAAAACGATCCGAGGATTTTAGCATGTACTAGCTGTCAGACATGCGTATTGTTCATTATTGTTTAAAGTTTATTTTAGGTTATATGTTCTATATTGTTTTTAATTAAATTGTTAAACGAAAACGTAAGTTGAAATACTTATTTTTTACTTGCATTGTTCATTTCCTTGCTTATTTTATAGATGAGTGATCATCTATCATCCAGTGATGAAGATTTAGAAAATAGGTTAGATTTAATTGAAGTTCCTAAAAATACTGCATATTTTGAAGAAATTGTTCCCATGTTTGATGATCAGCTATTTAGGGAGCATTTTCGAGTTAGCAAAGAGATTGTTGATAATTTAGCAGAGCGATTTAGCAATTCTGAATACTATAATTATCAGGAAGGAGATTCCCCAAAAAGTTTTGTCACAAAACAGCTGACTGATGGTTGCGGTTAGAAACGCGTTCGCGGAGATTTGTTAATTCTTGATCGGTTCCGAATCGCGCATGCGTACCATGGTTCATGATTATTTACCCTATACAGATACGGAACTAGTCATGGATGGGCTCCGCGAACAAAGCTATTAAGAGCTCAAACTTGGTGAGAATGTTTTTTCCTATTTGCAGATTAATATTTTGCTTGAGCACCGAAAAAAAACAAAAACTTTGCGGAAATGAATCACCCTAGTACACAGCAGGCTGAGCCAAAAAAACTAACCTATTGAATTTATGGGTTAAAAATTTTAACCCTTAAATTCAATAGGTTAGTTATATATTATATATAAGGATAATGGGATTTAACCAGAACTCATCAATAAATTTGGCAAGTACCAATTTATTATTTTTAAATTTTTTGACTAAAATAAAAGTAGGTACCTAGGTATTTGTTCGCTAATTTTTATGGTTTTTTAACTAAATTGTCAGTTTTTTAGAGTATATTTTTAAGAATTTATATTAGCGATTTTTAAACAAAATATAAGCAAGTAATGGTACCATGTTACTATTAATTTAATTTTATTTCAATGTTTTTTCATGGATAACTTGACAGAATAAAATTTTGTTGTTATTATTGTGCATTTTTCTACTTAAAATTTTTCAATAAAATTTAATATAGGGTCGTTTTGAGGGGTGGTGAATCCAGTGCCGTGCTTAGATTTTGTTTAAAAAAATCGCCAATATGAATTCTTAAAAATTTACTCTTAAAATCTGACATGGTAGGCCTTATATTTTGTACAAATATGGCGTTTTGTTCCAAAAATACAGTTTATCAAGATCAACACTTTAAAACAAATCCCGTTAAAATCGCACAATAAATAAAGATTTTACAGGGTTGAGTCGCAAACAAATGGGTCACACTGTATATATCTATAATTTTTGTGTTAAATATTTTTAACAAAAATATCAACCGATAAGGATAAAACAGTTTCTTACTTAAGATTTAATTTTCAAAACGTCTTTAGAAAATAACACAATTTTTAAACCCTATAGGGTTTAAAAATTGTGTTATTTTCTAATTACTCAAAATGGTGCGTAATTTTTGGAAACTATAATCGAAATTACATTATTTGATTATTAATAAAATAATAAATAACAAATATATAATTGAGAAATTTGTCACCCGTAACGTAATATGTTTATCGCGCAGGTCTGACTCACCCTCTTTTTTGGTTGTTTTTGTTATAAATAATTATAATCCCTACAACGTTCAGTTGTAATTTGGCTTCGATGGGTAGAACATGCTCATTTATTACTTTTATCTACATCAACAAATTGCTAGGTATTATTAGAATTCTAACGCATCTATAGATATATTAGGTCAAATAATACTACGAATATTTTTGATATTTAAAAAAAAATAAAAAACATAAAAGTTGCAGTCCTTAAATGGTCTAATTGTATTTTTTTTTCCAGGACCAACATGTTAAAGCAATGGCTATTAAGCCAATGAATATTAAGAAATAAGACAACCATATATATATATATAAGGATAATGGGATTTAACCAGAACTCGTCAATAAATTTGGCAAGTACTAATTTATTATTTTTAAATTTTTTGACTAAAATAAAAGTAGGTACCCTACCTAGGTATTTAGTCGCTAATTTTTAAGTTTTTTTAACAAAATTTCTTCAAACGTGCTTAGTCTACTTTTATTTATAAAATCGCCTCTGATCTGATCTGACCTTTAGAAAATTTAAACTGTATTTTTGGAGCAAAAGACGCCTTATTAGTACAAAATGTAAGGCCTACTATGTCAGTTTTTTAGAGTAAATGTTTAAGAATTCATATTAGCAAAATTTTTTAAACAAAATCTAAGCAAGTAATAGTACCATGTTACTATTAGTTTAATTTTATTTTAATGTTTTTTCATGGATAACTTGACAGAATAAAATTTTGTAGTTATTATTGTGCATTTTTCTACTTAAAATTTTTCAATAAAATTTAGTAAAGGGTCGTTTTGAGGGGTGGTGAATCCAGTGCCGTGCTTAGATTTTGTTTAAAAAAATCGCTCATATATGAATTCTTAAAAATTTACTCTCAATAACTGACGTAGTAGGCCTTGTATTTTTTACAAGTATGGCTTTTTTTGCTCCAAAAACACAGTTTATCAAAATCTACACTTTAAGACAAATCTGGTTAAAATCGCAAAATAAATAAAGATTTTACAGGGGTGAGTCGCAAACAAATGGGTCACACTGTATATATCTATAATTTTTGTGTTAAATATTTTCAACAAAAATATCAACCAATAAGTACCTATAAAAAGGTTTCTTATTTAAGTTTTCATTTTTAAAAGGTCTTTAGAAAATAACACAAATTAAATTAAATTTTTAAACCCTAATAACTCAAAATGGTGCGTAATTTTTGGGAAACTGTATAATCGAAATTAGTATATTTGAGTATTAATAAAATAATAAATAAAAATATATCTATAATTAAAATTTTGTCACCCTTAACGTAATATGTTTATCGCGCAAGTCTGACTCACCCTTTTTTTCTTTTTGCTGATAAAAATAATTATAATTCCTACAACGTAATCAACCATTTAGTTGTAATTTGGCTTTGATACGACATACATGCTCAAATATTACTACGATTTTTTTTAATATTTAAAAAAATAAAAACATAAAAGTTGCAGCCCTTAAATCGTCTAATTTTATTTTTTTCTAGGTTCAACATGTGATAGCATTAACCCATGGATAATAAGAAATAAGACAACCATATAAGGATAATACGATTAAACCAGAACTCATCAAGGAATTTGGGAAGTACCTACCAGGTAATTATTTTTAATTTTTTTGATTAATTTTTTGATTTTTTTTTATTATCAAAATTTCTTTAAATATCTTTTCGTCAGGTCAAATATTGTTTAAGTTGGAGATGGAACTAATTCTTTATTTAAAGATCAGTTCTTTTAGTTCGTTTTTGTTAGGGGTCGTAGGTAAAAATTTTGTGATTCTTTTCGTCAGGTCAAATCTTGTTTAAGTTGGTTAAGTTGGAAATGAAACTAATTCTTTACTTAAGATTAGTTCTTTTTTGTTAAGGGGTCGTGCTTC